GAGGTTCCAGGTTCGAATCCTGGCTGAGGTAATATTTTTCGCAATAAATTCTTTACAGTTTTTTAAAATAATTAAATTGCGTCGATTTAATTCCGGGAAGGGAAAGGTATTAATGTTCCAACGATAGCTGTGTTCAAGTCCGACAAATAATCGGTGCGCAGTTTATTAAGATGGAATGGATGTATATTACATACATTGTAATTCGTTACTTCTGTAACTATTAATTTCTTTATTTGCGCACCACGTACCGCGCTTGACTCGTATAGCTGTTTATTAATTTGTTGATAGAAAATTATAATAGTTTTCAACTACAGTTTTTACGTTACATTTTCAAGAAATTTGAATTGTATCAATTTGTATGAATTGTATTTGAATTATAACGTAATAATAAGGAGGGAAATAAGGAACGATATTTTGTTGGTAATGACGTAGTGGATTTAGTTAACTGATTGCGGAGGGTTGTAGCAGATCCTATTGTACCTGTGGTAGGATAATGGTAGCCCCGCTCATCATTGCTCATAATTCATCTATCCTTATCACTCGGCTTATCTTGTTGCAGGAAGCTGCTTCAGGCAACAGTAAGGGCCAATCGCACGGGCCATTTCATGTGGGTGGGTAGCGATTCGTGGGGCGCTAAAGTTCACCCCGTCCGGGATCAGGAGTTCGCGGCCGAAGGTGCCATCACCATCCTGCCATATAGAAACGCCCTCAAAGGTAAAAGACCCTCGTTACTACGCTTTTGCGATCCTATTATAACCGACTTAATTGGAAGAATGTTTACTCTGAGTTTACCTTTGATCAAGAATGAGCAATAAAAAATGGGAATAAAAATCACAATTTTTGCAGAAAATAAAATATATTATAAGAATATATAATAATATTAGTAATATAACATTAAAAGAATGGAATATAGTACCATGTTCGAAGGATCGTGTAGCTTTAAGGGTGGAACACATTGATAACTAAAGTGCTGATTTACTTAATTTGTATGACCTGCATATTTGTTTGAATTACTTAAACTCGTTTAATTTTGTTAACTCTTCTAATCCTTAACGCATCTAGTACACTTTACTAACAATAAGCCACGATTGAAATTCCTTGTTAGCACAGTTGCTTACTGTGCAACTTTGTTGCCGTAGTAGCGATGTCGTTCCAACTTTGGCTTGACGTTCATTAATCTCACATATGACAAGTGAGTAATATTTTCCGCTTCCGATTATGTCGCATCATCCACGAATCGTGGGTTAGCATTCGCAGACTGAAGAAATGAACGCGACGAGCGGCACTTCCGTTTCGCACCAAGCAATTAACACGGGAATGTCGAGCCCTTGTTAGTCGAGCCAAATTACTAAAAATTATGGCCTACCGAGTACCAAAAAAGATGGAATTCATGATCAGGATGTTCATTAATTCTATAAACTGACAGCTAGGCTAGAAAGACTGAGGGCGATAAGATAAAACAGATAATTTTCCTGATTGCTTAAATTCTCAACAGTTTCTGCATTATAATTTTCCAAAATAATATAAACTTATCTTTTGCAAATTTGTCTTTTTCTTACGGTTATTACTTTGCCATATAAACATTTAAATATTCTCAAGAATGCAGTAGTGGATTTTTAAAAAATATAACATCTTCGAAAAAAATCTAAATACACCGTTGTAGTGCGCTTTTGAAACCATAAAATTTTCTATGCACTAACATATTCAAAGCTCATGAAAATAGGGGGAGAATGGACACGTGGTCCGTCTCCTTGTTAGTATTTGTTTTATATTTGTTGCATGATTTCGTTCTGCGTCACTCGCTAAGCGCTTTCGGTAATAATTGCCATTCTTCACACCTTGCTTGTTGGCCTCTCGTTTACGAAGCGATAAGCAATTTGCACTTGCCAAGTTCACGGTGTAATTTTCTCGTACACGCTAGCGTTGAGACTATTTTTGTTGTGAATCGTTGCTTTATCACATTTTGTGACTACGCAAATAAACCCGCGCTGAGAGTGAGCGCGTTTGCTAATGTTTTCAAGCCTTATCTAATACTTCCTTATTCGCTCCTACATTTCTCTAACCGGCACTGCTCACAAGTAAACCTCTTACCTTCTATCCTCGCGATTGAAATGAGACTTTAAGAAATAATTTAGACATGTCTCTGGAAAACTCCCGGAAGTAGAGATTTTGGACCAGAATTTAGAATCATTTTTGGCGGCTTGGTGAGGTTTACCGCCCAAACTAATAATTGCATTTGCATGTATTTCTATGGGTAATGTTGTTTCTAAATGTTTTTACAAAATTGCCTCTGTTTGCAGCGACTAGGAGTGCAATTTTGCTACTTTTCTATTTCTTAATCATATTGTCTATAAATTAATTTATTTATAAAATCAAATTGATAAAACGCCGTTAAACGATCAGGACTGAATCTTGGTTATGTGATAATATTATTCGCGTGAATTTTACGTGCAATTCTTCAAGTACATACAAATGCAATTATTAGTCGGCGGTAGACCTCCCATTAAGCCAATAACAATGCTCCTGAATTCTGGTGCTTCTGGGAATTTTGCAGCTGACTAGCTTTAAACAATCCCGAGGCATAAATCATTTCCCAAAGTCTCATTTCAATCGCAAAGGTAGAAGGTAAAGGGTTTACTGGTCAAATGTAGAACCCGCTGCCTAATCAATCGAACGATCGACAAGTGCATTACAGAGATTCTTTATAGTTAATATTAAGCAGAAGTAGATGAGAAGCTTAATCACACACTCCTTCTATTTCACACGGCGAAAGATGCCACTTAATGTCTCAATAGGTTCACTGACGCATGCGCTTATAACGTCCGGAAATAAATTAGGCTTTACTGAACCAAATTTCTTTTTCTTTTTTATAATAACTGAATGGAAATATCATGTATATAAGCCTGAACAGAAGTTTTACCTGTTAAAAATACAGATATATAAAGTAAAACTAAATAGTGACAAAAGAAGAATATTAATTTACAGATTTTTTTATCAAGAGACACGGTAGTGTCTCGCGCCAAGTACGCGCGGAGCGAGACGCACCGTGACTCATTTACGCGAACGCACGAGTTGCGAGTATAACCCGAGATTTTGAGATCTCTATAAATTACACGAAAGTACTCTTGTTATCATTCGACATGAAGTAAAATAAGCCGTTTAGTTCTTCTCATATGCATTCTTGTAATTACTCTCGGAATTCAAATAATTCTCACAAATTTTAACAGTCATGATTTTTCCAATCTATATCAAAACCCGAAAAATGCGTTTGGGAAATAACCAAACTGAATGCAGATAAAAAAATATTAATTAAAATTTACGTTCGACAGAGATATAAATTTTATAACTGAATGAGTCGTCAGGGCCGGTATATAGCGGTATAAATAAAATAAACGGAACGACATGTTTGATAATCATGCATGATTGGTGATGACGATTGTAGTGCAGAGAGTTGTGCGCTGCTCTAATGAGCCGAAGATTCGAGTTTAAATCCAACCGAAAATTGTTGGTTTTTATTCGATTGCCCCCTCTCGGAAGGCAATGGCAAACCACCGAGAGTGTCTTGCTCAAGACGTCCTATCCTAGGTAGTAACCCTTGCCAGAAAATTCTAGAGGAAAGCAACGGGAAACTACCTCTAGTATCTTCCCAAGAGAATCTCATGGATTGTCTCATAAGGACAAACATCCCAGGCAGCATGCTAATGTTAACCCTATTCACTCCAACCCCTTTTTCCGCCTTTTTAATCCTCGCATCATAACTCACGAACGAATTGACGAAATTTAATGTTCCAAAGCGCAAATTAAAGCTACTACTTTTAGCATTAATTTGCGCTTTGGAACATTAAATTTCGTCAATTCGTTCGTGAGTTATGATGCGAGGATTAGAAACTCGCGGGGACACGAAAGGTCTGGTTGGAGCGAATAGGGTTAATTTTGTGTTATATATGTTCACTGTTTGATTCCGAACAGTTAGATAACATTCTGAAAATAAATTTTTTCAAAGAGTTATGATCTAAACGTTGAACGAATGTTGCAAATAATTAATAAGAAGTAGTGGCAAATGCAGAAGAAATTGATACACCAGCATTGAATACTGGTAATAAAGAAAATAATGTGAACTATGTATATCATCAAACTAAGTGCAGAAACTCTGTGTGTGTATTTTGCACAAAAGTTGCAATTGTTTTTTAACTTTTCGTTTGGATGAGTCATTATAGCGTAGATTATAACAATTACTGCAACGAGCAATAATGTGTAATTTTTTATAATTTGTGTTGAAAATATAGAATTAATAATATATATCAGAACAAAACGGATTAAAACTGAACTTGTCTGATTAGAATTCTAATTTTCAGTTCAATTTCTAATATGTAATCTAATACGGCCGGGTTTTACGTAGGTAACGATTAGCTTTAATTAATTCTAACTCTAGAACAACAAATTTAATTTATCAAAACTTGATATAGATTTAAGTTAATAAGGTTATTTAACTCAAATAATTATTGCGTTTTTTATATTTATTGTATCAAATTTTTTTTTATTTGACATTAAAATATATCTGCATTATAATAAAAGATGTACCAAGCTAAAGCAGTGGCATATCGTCAAAAAACGTAAGTCATAAGACTTAAATAGTAAGCAAATCAACCAATCAGTTGAGATTTAAAAATGGTAGCCTTACTTTTTCGACAATTCTCGGCCATTTAGGTTTTTCCTCGCTGTCCATCGATCTCATTCTTAAAAAAATGTCGAAAAAGTAGCTACGCATCGTAGCTGATGAGCTCTAGTTATTAAAAATAATACTCGCCATTTTATAGTCTCTTTCAAGAATCGCTTTGAGAATAACAAATACTTAAATCTAGTTCCAAAATTTGATTGAAAATATAACGATAAAAATGACAAAATTTTATAAAATCACCTTTTTCGAGAAAGGCAAAAGGAATGCA